CTACCTATTCTCCCATTCAGTCAGTAAACCAAAGACCTTTCTTTAAAACTCGTGGCTTCAAGCCATGAGGCTCTGTGTTCGTTCTAGCTGGTATTTCTTAGGAGGCAGAGAGCAGTGGTCTGGATGGGCCATGTAGCTGCTCTCAGGATTCAGTTGGGAAGTAACAAAGTGAATCGTTTCCACTTCAGGTCAAATTTTAATTTCAGTCTGGACTTCTGCCTGAACTTCTGCCCTTGGAACTAGCTGTGGGAGCAGTAATGTGAACACAACAACTGGAAGGATGGATGAGAGAATATAGATGACTGCTAATTTGATAGCACACAGCAGCATTATCAAGAGCCAAGACATCCAGGGCCAGCGTTGGCCAAGCATTCCTTGGCAAGAGAAGTTTTGAACAGGGATCCCTTCTGCCTTTCCTTGGTTCTCTAGTGTGGTTTTAAGTGCTGAACAGCTGCTCTCTCAAAATCAAGAACCTCTAAGGAGTCACCCAGAGTCACTAATCACTTGGGAAAATTTGGACTTACTCAAAATTATTAGGTATGACTATCTTTAACATCCTCTTGTTTTCATATGTAATTTCAGACCAACGGTCCCAGTCCTGTCTGTAAGGGTAAGAGGCGGTGTGGTAGCTAGATAACCCATTCAATTTGCCACTGACTGTGGCAATACTTCTCTCTCTGTTCCAGTAACTTTGAGGTTCAATTCACCGTTAGTGTAGAACAGTAACATTGTGAGTAGCATAGAGTTTAGCTGAAAGAGCCTTTGATACCACTGAGGTCTCCTAGTAGAACATAATGCTTTCAGAATGATGGTTAATCTTTTACTTTAGATCTCATTAGCCAATGTAGAGGCTGCACAAAATTTCTGAAAAAGCCACATCTTTGTGTTCATATAAGAGGGGCAGGTTGTACTGGGCTCCATGAAGGACTGCAGGTCAGAAATGTCTGTGACCTGTTCTTACTTCTGTCTTGTTGAGTGGTTGCAGGCCAGTCCTTTAATTCTTTAGTCTTGAATTTCCTGGTTAAAATCCAGGGGCACTGATATTTATCATCAGGTGGGACAGTGCAGGGTTTGATTTGTGTTGGGATTGGAAGGCTTCAAATAAAAATGGACTAATTGTGAACTAGCTATGTACATAAGAGGACAGGCTCTGCCCTGAATAGTTTTAGATGCTAAACAGTGAGGGAGGCTGGACTATGACAGAGATTTTGTTATCCCCATTTTTCAAATAAGAAGCAGGGCAATGGAAGATGAAGAGCAAGGATGAGTTTCCACAGGGTATATCCTCAGCACATGAGTTACAGCGTGGTCACTGCCCCTGTGCCGGTTCCTTGTCCTGCATAGTAACTACCAGGCACCTTAGTCTGTTTTCACAGAGGACAGATCTAATTTACATTTGCTTCCCAGTTCACCTCATGGCAAATGTTGTAGCCACATACTGAGTAATCTAAGCAAAATCACAGAAGAATTATTCAATAATGCTAGCTATTAGTAAAACCTAGACTTGCTCTTGGGATGCAGGTAATGTTTTCTAAGGATCTTGGTGACAAAAGGTACTAAAAGCAGGTTCAGTATAAAGAAAACCGTTCTTGGATATCAGTGATGGGTGACACCATCCGATGCTTTCATGGTACTGATGCTGAAATCATCAAATATCACAATTGACTAACACCTTGAATGGGGGGGCAGTGGGGTTTCTAGGGTTTCTTGCTAGCTTGCTTCACTTTAGCAACTCTTCTGCTCTCCAGCTGATTAGACTTTACTTTGGGGCTCAGACAAGACATTGCAGTATTTCCTTCCATGGTGAAGACTGCAACACAAGTTATGCTGGGTCAGAGGCACTCTTCCAGGCTCCAGAAAACTGCATCTCAGGGACTTCTTAGCCACATGTGCTATCCTCGTATTGAGTCATCCTTACAATTTTTTATTCTCTGAATTTGTCTTATCTGCTTTGAACCTACAAAACTATTGACAGTTTAGTATTATGTACATTTAGCATCACAGTTTTACTCTAGTATTGTGTATGACCCAGCACAAGGGCAGAGGTGGTATGAATGGGCTTTGAAGTGATATTCCCAGGGTATGAACACACCTAAGATTTGTGTTTGAATGGGACAGAAATAAGCTGTGCAACCAGAATAAGAAATGATTTACACATTATTGACTAGCTGTCACGTTGTTTCCACTTGCAATTTTCCACTCAACCAAAAATGCTCTGGGAGTGTTTTGATATAGTTTCTATGCTGGCACTTAAGTCTAGTGTATCCATTATAGGCAATCTCTCAAAGTTTTATGGCTAGTTTTCTCCCCAGTGGAAATAATTTGGGTTTTTTTATTTTCCTTTCCCTGTCAAATGTCTGGTTTTGACTTTATCAACCACACCAGTTCCCACCATATGCCGCACTGTGTAAATGGGGTGGGCAAGGCACCCTCTGTCTCCCAGCTCTGATATTCTTCAACAGGATACTTAATGGTTAGCCAATTGTTGCACCGACATTCTTCTCAGTGTGCAAATATCAGCTTTCAATTAGTGAGCCCATGTAATGTAAATAACACCTGGCAGACAGGCTGGGATTATACTACCTGTTTGAACTGAGAAGGCTGCCAAAAATAGTTGATGTGATTGCATTAGCTGGGTCTGTCAGAGTTTAATGGCTCATCATGGTAAGGGGCAATCTTAGAGAAAGCCAGAGACATGTAATATAGAACTGGGTGTGTGCACTCAGGCCCAAGTACAAAGATTTGATGCTACCAGTAAAGCTGCTTATACCTGTTGGTTGCATAAAACTTAATGAATGAAGTCAGTGAGGTATTAACCAGTGTAAAACATGGGGAGTCAATGTCTTCTGCATAGACAGCTTCAGGTTGATCAGGTTTTCTAGGAACAGCAGGAACGCCACAGGTAGCCTCCATTGTAAAAAAATTTATGTTCAAATGGAGATATGTCTCTAAAACCACTACAAAAGATGAAGACTGGGAGTAAGCAAAGAAATCTGCTTGGTAGATAAGAAAGAAAAGAGGATCGATGTCTTACTTTTCTGGAGTGATTGTACTGCTGCTCATGAAACTGCTACAAAGACAACTCGGGCAGAAAACCGATCCCATAGCCACCCATTGCTTTTGGTGAAGGACGCATGTTGCTCCCCTGCAAGAAAGATGCACCACGGAAGAGTGGAGGATCTATAGTCTTCAAGCAGCATTGCTACCATATGTGGTGGTAAGACCCTGACCTTCATTTTGTCTCCACTGTGCTTCACCTATTAATATTACTGGAAGCAGGGAGCATGGAAAATTAAAATCTCCTTTTTAAGCTCAGGGTAGGCTAGAAACAGTATAACTGGCGGGATCCCAAGGTCCCCCTCCTAAAACAATAAGCAAACATGACAAATAGAAAGCTTTTTCATTTAGAAAACATTAATGTCATTCTTATTAAATTTATGGTTAGATAAATCCGTGTTCAAATACTACCAATTATGTGCAATATGCTGTATGAAGGGAGGATCCAGATTTTTTAGCCCAACCGCAGAAGCAACAGCTCAACTGAACAACATATCTATGTACCTATATAGTCTAGACTTGTTATCTTACCCCTTTCCCACTTCCCCCACCATTTTGCCAACCGTCATCTAGCCAATAAATACATGGGAACTGATTTCCGACAGAGTTAATTGCCTCTAATTGTGCTACTTTTGTTATTTTACCAGCTTTGACTCACCATAAATTGGTCTGGTACAGATGCTGGCAAGATAAGAACTCTATACTCTCTCCGTATATATATGTATTTATTTATATATCTGAACATGTTAGATACGCTGCTGTGGTAGATTGGATCAGTTATTTCATGACTGCTGGGATTTTACAGCCGACTGGCTGTGCTAGGTGCCTCAGGGGCGGATACTGAGCTGTAATTCCTGCCCTCTGCTGCCTGCTCCAGCCCAGCGCGGTTGTGAGATACTTTCGTCATGACCCAACAAAGTCTGGGTTAATAAGAATCAGGGGGCGATTCAAGGGAGTAGCATTGCTTGGATGACACAGTACTTCAGCAAAGGCCAGTGCACAGTATGCTGGAATAAAAAATAGTTTAGGTATCAATAAATAAAACATAGAAATCTGAGTTGGCTGAAAAAATGACACAATTTATCTTTTAATATTTCCATTTCTGACATCTAGAGGCAAACCCGATGCCAGAAACATCGGGGAAGAGATTGAGCAAGAAGGGATTCAGATTGAACTTCTGACTCTGAAGGCATTTTTAATCAGTTAGGTTCCACGGTCCTGGTTTATATAAGTGTAGGAATGCTATTCACCTCCTTTGCAAAAAAAAAAAAAAAAAAGCCCACAACAAAAACACCCTAAGGGGTTGTAATAAAAACCCCAATACATTAAAAACAATAAGGATGGTAAAAAAAAATTAAAAAGAAAAGAGTTTTATTGTCAGGAAATTGATTCCAGGGAAGTATACATTTTTTTTGTCAGGTAAAGGTTGATTTTGGTTGAACCTTCTGTCAGAAAAATTACAGTGAGATAATCTGCGTTGGTGGGGGTAGGAAGTAATTTTTTTTATATGTCTGAGTTGTGTTTGTCCATCTCTCGAACTCCCCATCCATCTCTTACTCCGCAGTGGGGTTATATAGCCCTTTCAGCAGCCTTTCCCTAGGGCTGAACGCTGCCCTGTAGCACGGAAATCGCAGTTCAGTGACAGAGCAAATGTGGAAGTAATAAAAAGCTTGAGGTAATGCGATCCCTTTCTTGAGGAGCTCTGAGAAACACTGGTCACCTGCAAAAGGGAGAGATTTGATGAGCACCCTCAGTTCTCACTGCCCCAGACATTTATTATTATGAATTTTACTTCAGGTTATGGTCATTCTCTCTACTCCACCACGCTTTCGTTCCTCGCACGGAGCCAGGGTACACATTGGGAGTCCAAGTCCCTGTACAGTGTGAACAGTCTTTTGTTGTTGCCATTTCTAATATTTTCTTGCTGTATTTCTGTGTTGCAGATGTGGATGAATGCGCTTCAGATTCTCACCAGTGTAACCCCACCCAGATCTGCATAAATACTGAGGGGGGCTATACCTGTTCCTGCACTGAAGGCTACTGGCTGTTAGAAGGCCAGTGTTTAGGTAAAAACTTTGTGCGCTGTGGTGTTTGAGCATCTGTATATGTGTGCCTGTGAATAGCTGAAATAATGTCACGGAGCATCTTTGTCAAGTACACGGTTAAACCTTCGGCTACGTGGAAGCTGTCTTTCATCTTCGTAAGTGCCAATGGTATGCTTGGCAGAGAGACTCCCTCGCAGAACAAAAATGTAGATGTAAATGCCATATGACTAGCATCCATGTAAGACGTGGGATTTTCACATTCCTGGTCTGAAGGATTCCCTTTCACGTAAGATCCATCATAAGCATGTATACAAAAAGATTTATTCCCAAACAGACCTGTCCTTTCCACACTGTGACAGTGTGGACCCAAAGGGATCAGTATTTGATACCAAGAAACAGGCCAGTAAATGCCTAGATTCAACGAAGCTTTTTGCTTGGGAGTGAGAAAAAAAACTACCTCTGAACTATGCGCCATTTTGGTAGCTTCCAAGCAGTTTTATTTCGATTTTATTATTTTCCTTGCAGCAATGTCCTGTTCATCCTTTTAGCTCAGCCCTGTTGAAAAAAACATTTCTCAACAAATAGCACGGGAAAACCTTCCATCTCCCCTCTCCTCCAGCCCGTTCCCCTCACTTGACATGCCCATGGGATGATGAAGTAGATGTTAATTTTAGGTACAGAGATAGGACTTAGGAGATAGGATACAACTTTTTTTTTTTTAAAGTTTGCTCATTTTTTTTTTCCCCTTGGTGCAGGCTGTTTGCCTGCCAGCTCTGCAGAGCTGGACCGTCCTGCCACAACACCTCCGCTGGAAGGAGAACGGGCTTTCCCTGCCCATTCATCCCTGGAGCCTCTCCAGTTATTTTCCAACTTTCTCTTCCCAAGCACCAATTCCAGTGAAGGACTGAGTCGTGGCTGCTTTCCTAACTACTGTAAACAGCTGCTGTGTAACCCACCTGGCAGGGACAAAGCTGAGCCTTGTCCAAGCTGGGGTCTGTGCAGCCATAGCTGCTTTGGAGAGTCACTGTCTTGTAGTTCCCCTGGGATATGAAGTCTCCAAGCCCCCTGCTCCTTAATCTCCGATAATTCCTCTTCTCTTGGGAAAAAAAGCTCGTGCTGGGGGTTGTACAGGCATACGTGATGGGGTGGGGATGAGGGAGGGCCAGTGATGCTCTGCATCACCTGTTTTGTTACCCGTTTACTTCTCCCAGTTACAGCCCAAACGCAAGGGTTGTGTGCAGCAGTCAGGGTTTGGACGTGGATCTAAAGTACTTTACTGCTTGATGGATATACCAGAGAACTGAAATGGCTGCATTGCTGAATTGATTTGAGTATCTGCTTATGCTATTTAAAATAGGCAATAACATCCCAGTGTTGCCCACTTTAAATAATCATGGGGTGGATTATTAAAAGGCAATGCAAAGAGCTAAAAGCAAATTGTGTTTCGAGTTGATATACTTTTCCCTAAGTGTCAAAAAAGTCTCAGTTTTCCATACTTTCCACTGGCCTCAGAGAAGTGATTTTTGCTTCCATAAAGCAGTAAAAGACCTTTTACTGTAATCAGAGGGCTGGGTTGGGTTTTAGAGACAGGCTTTTTTGGTGCACTGTTAGTAAACCACAGTTACAAAAAACTACACTTTTATCTGTTGTAATTATCCCAGTAAAGTTTATACAGGAGGAGCCAGTAAAGCAGTATAGACACGACCCACCCGCAAGAAGCAGCCCTGTGAAAGTCCTTATCCTCAAAAGGTAGCACTCTTGAAATAACCGTCCTGCAAGAGCCACAGCATGTATTTAAAGTAATGCATTGTGTCAGTGAAATGAGGTATTAATTTACTCAAAACCCATGTCCCTTTTTGCCGGATTTGGGCCAAGCCTACTGCTGACCCTGGCCTTTAGGTTATCTTGCTATTATTTAGAACGCAGTGGGAAATAAAAGCTAGTAAGGGTAAAACTGAGTGTTAGTGTCCCTGTTATTTTACACAGAGAAACTATTTCCAAGACTTCTGACATTTTCAGAATGGTTTCCTGAGACTTCCTATGGCAAAACCGCCCCAGTGAGGCCAGCAACATAAACTTGAATTGCAGGATGTAGCTACTTACACAACAGATTCACAACATTGTTGTTTTTATGGTATTACCACATCACGTAAATGTTCAAGTTGTTCAAGAGTTCGGTTTCCCATTACATTCTTAATATTTAAAACAGAAAACAGCCAATTTAGCTAACAAAGAATGAACTGCTGGAATTCATGCAGATATGTATGTATACGCGTGAACCATAGGAAGAATACTGTCATTTTGATTTTCACATGCGTTGGAACCTATGGTGGGGGTCATTTCACCAAAATCTGTGCCTTCGTGCTTTGCTCCTTCTGGCAAATTGACTGGAGATAATATACTTGGTTTTCTACTGCACAAACTTAACTTCAAAGCTTTGAGAGTAGCCATTAAAAAAATCTCCATAAATCAAAAGCCAGTTGATGATACCAAAGGAAATGTAAGGCCTTGGAAGAGACAACTATTCCAGGTGTTTCATTCCAATTCTTAGCCCAGGGGCAAAATTCTTCTAGCACTTACCATCATATGTATCTTACAGCATTTTCTTGTGCTTATAACAGTCAGTTGCATGTATTGCTAATGCTGCAATTTAGCCCAAACTGCTATTTTGTCATTAAATTCACTGTTTACATTTTAGAGTCAAGAACTTGTCAGTTAAAAATTCATATAAAATGTGAAATATTTGAAAAAGAGTCTTTAAAGAATATCCTCTCTAAAAAAAGGAGTATTCAGTAACAAATACTTATTGCTTTGCTAGTGAGTAGCTTTGGTATATGTGGACATAAAAAAGGTTAATATCTTGACTCTGACAAAACTTTGCTACAACATTGGCTGTACCTGCGCTGACGGGCTGTGCCAGCTATCAGGTATGCTTCGAGGCAGCTGCTTAAAGGGCCTGACTCTGCGCTTCCTGATGACATCACATTAAACTGAAGATTACAGCAATGATATAATCAGTTCATAGGACATACTGATAGATGTCAGCTGTGGATAAAAACACCTTACTATATTCTTTTGGGTAGAAATGTATTTTAACTATAACTCTGGGTCTGAACACCTGAAAATTTGGCTGTTACATCCGTAACCAGTATGCTGGGTTATTTCTGTGTTACTGGTACCGTTGACTCAGTGTGTTTGCTGGTTTGTACCTGCATGTGAAAATGCAGACCACTCTACTTCTCATCTTTCCCATCTATAGATATAGATGAATGTCGCTACGGCTACTGCCAGCAGCTGTGTGCCAATGTGCCCGGTTCCTACTCTTGTACGTGCAACCCAGGCTTTACCCTTAATGATGATGGAAGATCATGCCAAGGTACTGTGTACGGTAAACCACGACTGAAATCTTTGGTCCCAACCCAGCAACACCCTCAAAACTTGCTTAGTTTTTAGAATACAAGTAACCTTCCCAACACTGCTTCTGAATATGTTCATAGGTTTGTCAGCCTGAGGTATTTCTGTAGTTTCACAGTACCTCAGAGGGGTACAGGTGCCACACGACCAGTGTATCGGGAGAAATATGCACAGAGGCCCAAGTACCTTAAAATATAGAGTTACTCAATTCACTGAAATTACCAAGAGTTTAGGCACTGAATTAACTTTTAAAATCTGAGGCAGTGTGATCCACCTGAACAGGAAAACTCTGTCAGATCAGTAAATTAAATCTGAGTCTCCCAAGTTCCAGACTAGGGTCCTGAGCCACCTTTTGCTGTGATGTGCTACCTCAATCAAAGTCAACACAACCTCTTCATAAAGCCTCTCTCTAGCTAAGCAGGCAGCGTCTTCCCACATGCTGCAGGAAACGGCCTGTGCTAATGATGTCCAGAAGGTGCTCATGTCCTAAAAGGAAAAAAAAAATGGTTTTGTCTTAGCCCTAGGTTTCCACGAGGACCATTCCTCATTGCATTATCTTCCTCAGGAATATCCTGCTGCATTTTGTCTCGGGTCTGTTATAACAAAATCAGTTCGATGGTTTTAAAATTGCAGGATAAAGGCAGAAGCATTTGTAATAAATATTTCATCCCTATCTTCCACGTTATTTTTTTGACTGAAGACATTCCCAAAATGCTTCATTTCCGTGCATGTTGTCTTTCCAACACACTATTTCCAGGCATCAGCCTGAATCCCAATAAACAATACTGACTTGGTTATATTTTTTCAGAACAAATCATTCTGACTGTACAGCTAATCTCTTTGAAATGCTTTACAGTAATGAATTGAAAATAGAGTTTGGGGAGAAGTCACTGATGCATTGGACATTGGTTTCCCATAGATGTGAACGAATGTACAAGCGACAACCCTTGCACTCAGACCTGCGTCAATACCTACGGCTCTTTTCTCTGCCGCTGTGAACCTGGCTACGAACTGGAAGCTGATGGAGTTAACTGCAGTGGTAACTGTCTTTAGTTATTTATTGTTTCAGTTTCCTTAATTCTATTAATTTTTCTTTTTCCAATGTATTGTTTTGTACATGCTTTTTAAAAAGTTTTTTGCCTTGGTCCATGGTTAGCAGCGGGATAGCTGCAACTCATAGGATCTTCTTTCCAGTTAAAGCACACAGCAAATACCCAGAAAAGCACAGCGGAGGAGGGCTGCAAATGGTTTGAAAGAAATAAGCTAAATATTAAAAAGCTTCAAGATAACGGCAAAACGTAAGAAAACGCTTTGTAATGCTGAACAGGAAGCTTTATTAGAACAAGTAAAGTAGGGATAGTCCTAGAATAGTCTTCCATGATTAAAGAAATACTTTATATAAAGCACTTTTCCATTTGCCTGTTGAATACATGTATTCCTCTTGCTCTTACGACTGCATACTTCTGCATGAAACCTTCCCGTTTCCCCTGAATGGCTCTGGCTGCGCTTCAGAAATGATATATGGTTTCTTAGTACAACTATTGCTAACCTGTTCAGCACATAGCAGAAGAAACTGTGCTTATGGCACTGTACTTTTTCCTCTTTTGTTTTTGTTTTTATTTTATTGCTTTATTTTAATTGAAGGGAAAACTTATTTCTGTGCTTAATGTTCCCACAGCCTGATAAAATTAGAGAATCTCACCAATATTTCTTGGAAGGAAAAATGCACTGGAAAATACTTGTTTTTTAATTTACAGTAAACAGATGTAACATGCTGTTTCTGAGAGACAAGATATGTGATATGCAGTATGTGTATAGATTAGTGTTTCCAAAGCTGTTCTTCCCTGCAAACCTCCTTATTATAAGGGAAAGAAGACATAAATCTCTAAAGGGTCTGACGCATTTAACATTTAGAGCTGCAACACCTAACTTAAGTTTTCTGCTTTCTAATGGAGTTTCTGTTTCTCAGCTAGACTCTCGCACCTTTTTATGTGCTCCTGAGCTAGCTGAGGGCCTGAACCACTTAAGTTCATTGCAATGCCACATAAACATTGCCAGTACAAAACGGTGACAGAAGAGGTGGTGCTTGAACCTCATTTGTGTCTGAGGGTTAAGCCAGCACAAGGGACTTTCCACCACCCAGGTTTAGAGCAGAGGACCTTTTCTTGACAATTCCATGTGAGAAAATGCTTGTCTAAGCAGGCCAAATTTCTCTGAAAGAGATTCTTTCACTTCACAAGCAATCACTAGACATTGTTGAGGCTCGCAAAGGGAATGCCTGGTTAGGAGGACACTGCAATCGGACACCCAGGATCCAGATGTATTTCAAGAGCCGCGGGATTAGTTCATGGCCTAGCAGCCAGCTTACCTTGAAGATGGGAGGCATCCCTGCCCCAATTCAAGGAGAGAGGCAGAGATTTCAACCTGGCTTTCCCAACATCGGCATTATTTTCTAATCACAGAGGTCTTGCACATGCGTTAGATGTGCTGTGAAATGCCTACCATCTTGGCCTCTGCAGGTAGTCAGCAGAATGCCAGAAGTGTTTAGGAACAGCAAAGGTGTGTCTGTCCTGTCTGGGCTCAGCAGCAGAAATGTAGGACCCTCGGGGCTTTAAGTCCCTCCAGCACTTGACAGCAGCTGAGCACAGGTTATATGAACCCGATGTGCCGGACGCCTGGGCTAGGATGCCTCGAGGGGGTGGGTGATATCTCGGTCCCTTTATGGAGTCAGCCCTCGGTCCGTGTTTTGTCAGGAAGGTGTTTTTTTCAGCGAACTCGCTGGGGCAAGTCACACAGTAACAGAACTATATAGGTATAGAGTTCCTTTCATCTCCCTTTTGAAAATG